ATCTACAAATACATACATAGCATGGTCATCCCCTTCCCGTGTTTCTGATTTTCTAGGGCAAGAGGCAATTTTCTGATTTTCTAGGACAAAACGAAGAATATTGGGTTTAACCGCCTAAGCTCGCCCAGGAATGCCTAAGCACGCCTTCTCTCCACTAGGCGCAAACTAAGCGATATTCCTACCTACTAAGCGCTACCAGCGCCTTTTATAACGCCTATGGCCAAGTCAAGGCGTTCCTCCACCGCCTAGCGCCTAATTGAGCCTAGGCGCGCCTTCTTGAACCCTGGGTATGCCTGAAGATCAACATTAAGTTCTCTTCCGGTGCCACTATGAAACACCATGAAACGAATTTAGAATGGAGCCCATATTGATATTTAGTTGTGGTGATTCATTAAAAATAAAAGATAAAACAATTTTTTAAGGGAAGATCTCTTATCTTCCTTCAATCCCCTAGGCATTGGATATGAAGATGTTCATCCTACCTCCAGTGTAACTGGCTCTACTCTACAGAGATGTGATTGCCATCTCCCACATGGATGTGGTTACCATATTTCACATATAATCGCTCATCGCCATCGATTTGCACTGGCCTCCATAAACAACAATAAAAAATAAATAGAATAGCAAATCAAATAGTTGTTTTTGGGTTAACCATGAATCTATAACACAACCTTTGAGGATTTAATAGCCTTTTAAGTTATAACAGGTGAGAAATAGTTTAGGTAATTAGCATAAATGGTCACAAATCTTTGCACTTAGTATAAAACAGTCACAAACCTTTAATTTGTAACCATTTGATAACAAAACTTTTTTACTTAGAACAAAACGGACACAAATTAACTGTGTGACCATTTCATACCAGTTCAAACTTTTGTTACCGTGTCGTTGCAAATTAGACTTTTGTGACCATTTTGTACAAATTAAGTTCAAAAGTTTGAACGCTCAATCACCGTTACAATTCACTCTAGTTGTATGGTGGTTTTGTTAATGTATGTGAATGATATTATGTTGTTTAGGATGACAATGAGAGAACTCAATGGCTCACAAACGGGTTCCAGACTGCTTTTTAGTTGAAAAAACTATGTCTACTTTCTTACTTTCTTGGTATCGCAATTGAAAGGTCAACTGAGGGCATTCTTATTCGGCAAAGCAAATATGTCGATGCACACATGACCTGACATCTTATATGTCGTTCAAGTAGTTAGTGTCATATACTTAACGAACAAACCACCCGACCTCAAAACATGACCAACATTTAATTTGTAACGATTCGGTAACAAACCTTTGCACTTAAAACAAAACGGTCATAAATTAAATAGCGGTGACCATTTTATACAATTTCAAAGTTTTGTTACCGTATTGTTACAAATAAAAGGTTTGTGACCATTTTGTACTAATTGCAAAGATTTGTTACCATTTATGCTAATTACCCGAAATAGTTTGCCTTTATTGATATCTGTTGACTCCTTCACATGCTGCCATTTTTCTTGTATGAGTGATTAAGAATTTGGAGAAAGCTGGCATAAATTTGCAAATATAAAAACAGTGAGAAGGAAGCCAAGTAGCCAACAAAGCAAACCTTCATCGATGAGGAACTCAAGAGTGCCAGGGTAGCCCTTGATTGCAAGAACGCAAGTAGTTCGAGGACCATAAACCCCCATGAAGGCAATCACTTAATCTACTCAAAATATGGTGGCAACATCAAAGCTTCTCCAAACAGTGAGCTCAACTTTAGGCTCTGCCGAAACCAATGAAAAGTAAGCAACATGGCAAGTTTATTTTCAAAAAGCAACAAAGGCAAGAGGCCTAAGCACAAAGAAGCAAAACCAACTACATGCATGGTAGGAATACATGTTAATCACCTATTTACATATATACTTTGAAAAGACAAACCATAAATGACAACTCCAACTCTGTAGATTCCAGTTTGTGAAAGCAGCGAATGAGCAAGTAGAAATTGGAATCTGTATTTGAATTCTGGTTAGAAATGAAATCTAAGGAGTAGTTCCAGAAGTAGAGATAAGATCATACTTAACCATTTTGATTGTTTGAGAAAAATCCAAATGTAAAAGTTCTTTCATTATGTGTTATCTAGCTAGATAAAGCAGCACCGGAAGATGGAGAAGTGGAAGAGTTTGTTACCTTTTAATGGTTTCTTTAGAGATACATGAGCTGAAAGATCCCTTATACAGTAATTGATCAATCCCACCATGTTGCACTTTTTCCCCAACAACGAATCATGCATCCACTTATCTAAATATCTTTTATTTGAAATTTCAGTTGCATTACTAATACCCGAACTCGCAGAACATATCCATATGTTTGGAATTGAAACCAACGATAGAGCATTAGTAATGAACCCTAAGCGAGAAAAATCTTTAAATTAAAACATAGAATTTGCGAGACAATAAGGAGTGGAAGTGTTGACATGCAAGGGCCAAATTATGTATCGATGACACAGAGAAGGAGCGGAGAAGACCAATATTGACTCTGGCCTTTATGATTGAATCAACAATTTTGCTTCCCTCTTGAAACAGTGAGATAATATAACTACTATGACAGTTGGGAAAAACAGTCCTCGTTTTCCTATGGTAGAATTTGATGACGCGGAAGATGAAACGAACACAGAACACAAGATTTTACGTGGTATCCTCGATCGATTGATTGATCGAGACTAATCCACGGTGAGCTCGGAACGAGCTCACGACTGATGTTTTATTATACGACTACATCTTGACGGCTTGCTAACGACATGACCGTAGCTAAGCTTTTATAGATATAGACTTAGGGTTAAAACCCTAATGACAACCAAGTTTCCTTCTTTTACTTGAACAAGGAAACTAGGGACTTGTAGGACAATGAATTAATTACTTTTTGACTAAGTAATTAATATCCTCAACACTCCCCCTCAAGCGAAGACATGAATGACAAGAATGTCGAGCTTTAAAAAGGAAATGTGACGAACAAGCATGACAAGCTTGAACAACAAACTCGAGATGAATAATCTCTTGGACGAGGTTGATTTGGAGACGACTGACTCACTCCCTTGACCAACCTGATGAAGACGGTTGACTGCATCTTCTTGAACGTCGCGACGGAGACGTTTGATTGAGTCTCTTAAACGACCTGACAGAGACGGTTGATTGCGTCTCTTGAATGACTTGACGAAGACGATTGACTACGTCTATCTGTATGATATGTTGGAGATGGTTGACTGCATCTCTTGAACGAGCTGACTCCCTATTCTCCCCCTCAAGCTGGAGCATGAACGATGTGAATGCCCAGCTTGAAAGCTAGAATGATGAAGACTGAAAACTGATTGATTCTGAACGCAGAGGGGACGATCGCTTCTTTGATCGTGACTGCCTCGCTTGATGACTTGAAAATGACTGGCTATTGAAGGGACGACCATTAGTGTCTTCACTGCCATGACTTTGATTGATATTCTGAATAATGACGACAGCTGCAACAAGGCACACAAGTTCCACCACAAACACAAGGCAAATCAATTCCATTTTTTTACCATGTAATTGCTTTGACCTGACGTACTCCTACTTCTCCCAACTGTTGGGGTAAATGGGAAGGGTGAAGACGAATCCACCGTAGGCAAGCAGATTCAAAACTAGGTACAGCCTGCAGCAGAAACTTGGATTGGACTTGGATTTGATTTCTGGACTCTGACTGCGGGAACTTGGGCAGCTGCCTCCAGGAACTGATTCTAGATATCGACAGGGACAGAGACACGCTCTGCGGCGGAAGTTAGCCTGTTCAGCGTGGCTTTCTTGTGACCGCCAGAGGCGGAAAAAAAGAAAGGGTGGCCGGCCCACTATGAACGGACCCATTAGGTTACTTTGCCGAGTCTGCTTTTTTTCCTCTGTTGTGCGTCCCGCGACAACCAACCGTTGCGATCGAAGCTACGGCGGACGACGTTGATCGATGATGAGGGTGAGACGTGAGATTGGAGACGAGGAGAGACCTTGAATTTGTGGACCGGCCGAGAGTTTTGGATCAGCCAATCAAAAACAAAAGTCCCGCCGCGGACGATGATGGTGAGATTGACTTGACGACGAGGACGGTGACACATCTACAGGAGGCAAAGCTGGAGATGACTATGATACGCGATCGTTTGATTGCGATGGCGGCGGGATTGACGATGATGTTGAGAGCGAGATCGGAGGTCTGCGCCGTTGTGGTTGACAACAGCGGCGGTGCAGACGACGTTGATTCTGCTCGAGACGAAGATGACGGATGGGAAGTTGACTGACTGGCGATGGCGGTGTCCTGAAAAGGGAGACGATGGCGGGAGCTCGGATCCGAGCAGCCTCTACTTATCGACTGCGACGATGATGAGTCAACGACGTCAGGACGGGGACGACGATGATGACAAGAGGAACGGCGGCGAGTTGAGGCCACTAACGACGACTTTTACTCGGCGTCGGCGACTGGTGTTGATGAGAAGATCGAGACGGACGAAACTGATTCCGATGGAAATCAGCGACTGTGACGGAATGTGATGACGACCTTTAGAGAGAGACCACGAACGACCACGACTAGGCAACGACGACGACCTGATGTTGGAGTCGGAGGTGGAGCCAACAACTTCTTTCACCGTGGCTGCTGATTGACGAAGGCGACGAAACAAAAACTTGCGGAAGCTCAAAACCCTAATAATGGCTCGAGTTTTGCTCTGATACCATGTAGAATTTGATGACGCGGAAGATGAAACGAACACAGAACACAAGATTTTACGTGGTATCCTCGATCGATTGATTGATCGAGACTAATCCACGGTGAGCTCGGAACGAGCTCACGACTGATGTTTTATTATACGACTACATCTTGACGGCTTGCTAACGACATGACCGTAGCTAAGCTTTCATAGATATAGACTTAGGGTTAAAACCCTAATGACAACCAAGTTTCCTTCTTTTACTTGAACAAGGAAACTATGGACTTGTAGGACAAGGAATTAATTACTTTTTCACTAAGTAATTAATATCCTCAACACCTATTCCCTCATTGTTCAATGATTCCTCTTTCCTCCTGAAAGGAATGGGAATTTTCATGAGAGGCAGAATCAATATAGAGTAACCACTAGTTTAAAGAGGCATACACGGAACAAAAGCATTGGAAAAAATCAACAAAGTGTTGAAGTTCAGCACTCACCATTATGATATGCAGAAGCTCTTCTCTAGATTGTTTATGTCCTTTCATGTTTACAAAACTGATGAAGAAGTAATCTTCCATTCTGTATGCACTTTCCCCTGCCCCTGAGTACTAATGCAACGATTAGTTGACCACGACTCAAGTAGGTTGACAAAGAATCTCTCCATTAATGAGTTCTAGAACTCCGGAGAGAGAATAACCAAATCAAATATGGAGTACATTCTTACTACAACATAAATGCAGAGGCAAGCGAGAGCTGACAAATCCACCAAGGGACTTGCAACCTTTCACGAAAACTCAGTCCAAAGTTTGAGGGAAGGAAACAAAAACCACACAAAACACCTGATCCAAAACCACCAGCAGGCGAGACACCTTTGCCAACACAGGCGCACCAAACAAACCATAACAAAACTTGCCCACAAAAACTCAGTTAGAAGAGCATGGATCCAAACACAGACATTGAGATCAAATTCAAAACCCAAACTTTGCTCTAAGGTTGAAAATAACAAAGAAAACAGCATTGAAAAAGAGACAAAATTAATAACTTAAAAGAGCAAAGTCCCAAATCCTAAAATGAATCGAAGAATAGAAACAAAGAGAAGAGAAACTAACATTCAAACCGATAACACCATCTCATTTACCTCTTCCATGAGAAGGAAACGACTATGGGTTCGTTTGGATGGGTCTTTCTCATGAAGCAATTTGGGTCAATTGCCTCAAAATGAGACAATTGGACCAGATTATCTCATTTGGCAACATAAAAGCAAAATGGAGCCATTTGGGCCGAGGGAATTGGAATTGTCTCGTTAGGGTTCAATTAGAAAAACCTGGGTGGGGGATAGATAATTATAATTGACGCGTTTTTCCCCCACCCCTTCCAAAAGTAACCTTCACCTTTCCCCTTCTCTCTCCTCAGTTTCACAAAGACGAAACCTTTCTGCTCTCTTCCCATATTTCTTCAGCTGTCACCGAAAGAAATCTCTTCCTCGTCTCTTTCCCGTCTCTCTCAGGTAGACGACATGCAATGGCGAGCACGAGATCGCCGGTCTTGTCTCTTCCATTTTTTAGATATTCTGATCTAGGCTTTGATGGCAAGACCCAAATCGGACAGAGCGAAGGAGAATCGAAGGTAGGATGTAGGCCGAAAGACAAAGAGATTAATAGAGAAGCTCTGCGCAGTTGACGAATCGACTCGACCTGGTCCACCTTGGGAATCAAAGTCAACCAAGTATGGTTAAAACTGCGGAGCATCCTACTCGTTTCAAAAAACGAGCTCACCACTTGTATCACCGAATCCCCAACTATACCCCAGAAAGCTTTAAAGAACTTGCCAGTAAAGCCATCTGAGCCTGGTGCCTGCTTCGACCCCATAGAGAATATTGTATCCCTGATTTCCTTAGGGAGGACCTCAGCAGTCAGGTGTGCATTCATTTCCGGAGTTACGCACGCGTCTATGGGAAGGCCATCCACTCTCTCAAACATGTTGTCAATCTGATTTTCGGAAGTGAATAGGGATCGGTAAAAATTACTGGCAATATCTGCCTTCCCGTGCTCCTCCGTGATCCAATCCCCTTCCTCATTATACAGACCAACAACAAAGTTTTGCTTACGCCGAGCCCTTGTGACCGTGTGGAAATAAGCCGAGTTTTTATCCCCCTTCTTAAGCCATCTAACGCGAGATTTTTGTTGCCAATAGCTTTCTTCAGCCTCCCATTGCCTATTCAACTCAGACTCCAGCCGATTCACCTCTTGCCAATCAATAGGATGAATGGCTTTGATCCGATCAATCTCGCCTTGTAAAGTGTGAATATTACGCAGAGAATTCGTTGTACCAGCTCTACTCCAATCATATAGCAGATGTCGGAGTTTCTTCAATTTTTCCCATAACTGGAACATAGGAGTACCAGGGACGTGCTCATTCCAAACGTACTCCACCATAGCCTTAACTTCGGGATTATGCGCCCATCTTGCATCAAAACGAAACAGAGGGCGACACACCCTAGTATAGGGCTTGTCCGAGAGTAAGAGAGCTCTATGATCAGATCCCTGGTCCGTGAAGTGCTTAACCAGAGTTTCGGGGAATTGATCCACCCAGCTTTGAGAACAAAGAGCTCTGTCAAGTCTTGCACGAATACAAGCCAATCCCATTCGTCTATTTGTCCAAGTGAAAGGGTCACCCTGAAACCCAGGGTCATGCAGCCCTAACAATTGAATAAAATTCCGGAGGTCCAACGACTAGGATGCATTCCATGGGTTCCCCCCATCTTTTTCATTCTCACTCAGGGTTGCATTAAAATCACCAATAATCACAAAGGGATCAACAATATTTTCACAAAGCTCACGCAACTGGATCAACTGCAAAGCACGTCTCGCAAGATTGCAACTCATATAGACGCAGACAGCAACATAAGAAAACCCATTCTCATTAATTCGAGTACAAATGCAAAAACTCGAATGGAAAAACACTGAAGCCTCAACTTCAGGGGACCAAGCAACTACAAGACCACCAGCACCATCAACAGCATCCACAAAAAAACAATGAGAAGACTCAAAACCTAACCCCCGCATTCTACGGGAAACTACTCTCCGGCACGATCTTGTTTCTGAAAAGAAAACAAGGTCCGGTTTATTTGACCGAATTAACCCTACTGCTGTTTGGAATGTGAGGGATGGCCCAATCCCTCTCACATTCCAGGCAAGAAGCCTCATTTATCCGATTGGGGCCACTCCTGGCTGGCTACCTCCACCACTTCATTACCACTCTGATCTTCCACAAATTGCTTCTTGGGTGTTGTATTTTCTCCAATATCACCTTCCAATTCTTGAAGCGAACGTTTCCGGGACCCATTGTCAAAATTCGATCCATATTCGTTCAGCTTCCTAATCATTTCACCTTGGGCCTCCTCCAATTGTTCTTTTTCTTCATTGATGACCATGCGAGCCTCAAAGTCAGCAACCACCTGCCAAACCTGTCCCGAGTTAACCGGTCGAGTAGGATCAGCCATGGGACTTCTGCTTTTAATTTCAAATTGCGACTTATCATCCTCCGAGAGAGATGCCCCAGAGGCCACCTTCTCCTCGGACTTCTCGCCCACTTCCATAGCAGGCTGGTCCATAGCTATTCCAGATAAGCCGCCCACTTGAGTGGCCAGCTGCTTCCCCGCCTTGTTGCCTTTACTAGTGCGAGTGCCCTTCTGCTTAGGAGCACGACTTGGGCCAGCACCCAGGTTCTCCTGCCCAGCAGCCACATCGCCCATCATCTTGGAAGGTGCTGCCTTTTTCTTGTTGACGCTCCAAGGGCCAGCTGTCGGTTTCCCTTTCTTTGCACTCCCCTTGGCATCTCCCACCTTCACTAGTCTCTTCCCCTTCTTCTTATCTTCGTTAGTAACAACAGGCTTCACTATGGGAGCTGCTGAGAAGATTGGATCGTCATCAGAGTCCTCTAGCAACAGCTTTCGGCGGCGAATTCCCGGAGGAGTCAGCTCGATCCCAGCCTGCTCCACCCTTTCCTCCACATCAGCCCCTTCCCCGAGCACATGAACACCTCGGGCCTCTCGATCTTCCTATCGGATTCAGCCCAGCCCTCCCGCCGCGGGGTGACACGATCACGCTGCCTAATCCCCTCTAGTTCGTCACCAGGTGGCATGGGTGCACGTGGGCGCGCCAGCTTAATTTGCGGCGATCTCACCACCTTGAAGTCCCGCGGGCTATGCCGACGTACAGCTGCCGCCGGAGCCGGGGACATGGTCGCCGAAGCTTCATGATGTCGGGGACGCGACGAGTGAAGGTAAGCCCCCCCTTGCTCCTTAATAATTCCACCACCTGCTTGATTATTCCTCTAGTCCCTATAATTTTTGTTAACCCACACTGATTTAGGTCCTCGAGGGAAAGCCTGGTTATGGTCTTCCGTTTCAAAAATTCGTGTCCCTAGTTTCCTGGTAGACATATGAGGCCCGAACCTCTCCTTACGAGTTGGTGGGTCGAAAGTGCAAGCACTGCTGGAATGCCCCACCCTACCGCAATGAAAGCAGAAGCTCGGAAGGTATTTATATTTCAGACTCACCCAGAAACACCTTGAGTCATCAATTGAGGCCATGATTTGCGAGCGGAGTGGTTTAGAGAAATCAACCAACGCCCTGACTTTCACGAACCAGCGGCCCGTGTCCTGGCAAGCAAACACGCCAGATTCCAGCACTTTTCCAATAGTGGTATTCACCACTTTCCTCCCAAACTGGTGCGTACAACAATCTTTTTTCACGTCCCATAATTGGATACGGAACGGGGCAATCGCAAGCTCGTCAAAGAGTTGCTTCGTTATGACAGGAACCCACGGGCGCAGGTGGAGAATCTTGTCATCAATAACCCATGGAGAACGTTTCAGCACCTAGTTCTTGATCTCCTCACTTGGTAGCACGAACTCAACTAAACCATGCTTTGCCAACACCACTCTGATCCTTCCCTGGATTAACCAAGGGGTCAGCACCGAGTTCCTCAGCTCCGTTGTTGAGATTCTGCTGTCAGTAAAGAGCCGGCCAAGTAGCGAGTGTCCAGACCGGGATTTTGTTGATTGCACTTCTTCCATCGCTAGCTGCACCACTTGATCCGACGTGACGTGAGCCATTTTTTCAACCTGAAGGCAAGGATCAGTATTATTAATAATCGACCTGCTCATCTCTTGCAGAGACGGACAGGCCATGGCCAAGCATATAGGTCGGAAGGTAACAGGGCGAGGGATTTTAAGAATGCAATCCAAAGGAGTAGTTGTATGGTAAGCAGGCAAAGGCTTAAACGGGATGCAAGTAATTGAGTTAAGCCGCCAGGGGAAGACCACAGTACCTGAGCGGGGAGAGCAGTTGAGAGGAGCTTTGCCTTGGAACGCTCTCGCTGAAGCCCTATCTTGTGAATTGGAGTATAGACGAGTAGTAGGGAAAAGGCTGAGAGGTTTAAATAGGCAGCTAGACTCCACCCCAAACTTCTCCTGGACCGCTCGGAATAAGGAATTTAGAGGCTGGTCGTAGCCAGGACTCTTAGTCTGAGGTAAAGGGATAATCTTGATACTATAATTATCTGTTAAAATCCCATTCGAAAATCCAGGATTCTTTTCCTGAGATAACGGATTAATGTTGCAAAAATTATTTCTTTGAAACATGCCGCGAATCACTGAAGACGGATCAGGAAGGAATATTTCCTTAACGACATCCGTTGAGGCCGGCCGTTCGATCCGAGATTTTTCGTCGGATTCTTGCCGGTCACCGGAGGGGGGACCATCATCACCCCGATTAAGATCCCTCCCTCGAAAATCCAACCCAGGAACGATTTTTTCCACCTTAGCTTGGACGATAACCCTGGGCGCTGTCCCGGTCGCTACCCGCAAGGCTTCGTGCTCTGTTTTCCCTTCTTCTTCCATCTCTTCCAAAGAGGGGATAATAAATTTCCAGGCGAATCTTTTTGACAGCCGTCGCCGTTTAGGTTTTTCCGGACAAACACTTGAGCTTTCCGCCCAGTTTAGCCCGAGTTTTCT